CAGTTTAACCAATTCTGCAAGTCCGTCCAAGGGCTTACTTAATAATGTCACTTTCAAATATATGGTTAATTATTTTTGAATCCAGACTAAAATGTTATTACGTAATTTATAAAATTGGTCCATATGCAGCTGACCCTCGTTAATATCAACCTAACTATAAAATGAATTTCTATATATTAAAATTAATTTAAAATTCCCTCATATATATCTACTTTAAATATGATTCCTCATTAATATCACTATCAACATGAATATAAAAACGATCCAAATGAATTGATATTAACGAGGGTTGTATAATTAAACATAAATTCATTAATGAAATGTCACTTTAGTCGCTTAACCAAGTTGTGATTTTCGTGCATTCTTGATTCGGTATCTGTTTCCATCACAAACCTCATTTTTATGCAAATATAAACATGCTATCGTGTACTTTAAAGAAAATGAATTCATTGATGCTACACGTCACCTGCAAATATATATTATGTTTGTGCTCCCAGTTATTTATCAGGCAAATTCAGCACAACTTTTTCGGTCCATCGCGCAATCTGTTATAAATGATTTGCCTGATTTCGGTGCATTTAATTATTTATTTTTTGTATATATATAGAATCATTCCGGCTCCTCGTAAAAAAATTGGGCAGCAAAAAGAAAGAAAAAAAAAAAAAAAAAGTTCGTTAAATAAGTTATGATTTTTGTAATGAAAAATAAATTATGATATTTTAAAGGAAATAAATTTTTTTATACAAACTAATATTAAATTTTAAATTTTAAAATTCAAAGTTCGTTCAGAGGTTCGTTAAAAGGAGTTGATTGTATGTATATATAACCTTATAATTTTTTAATCAAACTCATTTTGCGGCCAAACCACCTCTTTTGTAAAATATTTTTCGTTCACAACACTAGTCATCACTATTCCATTATAACCTTGAAACGATTTGTTTATTTTTTTTTAGAGATCATCTATTTCCGCCATTTTATCCGGAATATGAATAAAAGAAATAGAGATGCATGCCAACACTGTAAACGCAACAAAAAAGGCTGCGTTGGAGGTATAAAAGGGGTAAACCCTTGCAATCGTTGCAATCTTAAAAAATTTATCTGCTCATACATAGAAACATCTGGAGCTTTGAGAAGTGAGTGTTCCTTTTCTTAAGTTGATAAATTATACAAGTAAATTTTCGCAAGTTTATACATATAAAATTTACGCGTCATGATCTTCTAATGGTACCATTATATAATTGATTGATAATGATTAATCTCTGCTACTGTTACTATTACTATGAGAATGACTTGCTGTTACTGTTGCTATCGTTCCCTATACCTATGAACACCCATCCACTGTTGCCGTTGCTGCTGTTGCTGTCGCTGTGTTCCCCCCTAAGGAAGGAGACAGTTTGGTTAATTGGTCATTGAACATGCTGAATGTTTACTAGTTGTCGTCAGCGTTTTGATTGCTTAATGGATATTCAACTAGCAAAGTGTCGACAACACCCAATTAACGAAATTTGAAATTAACATGATCTTTAAATACTAAATCGAAAAAAAAAGTTGGAGTGCATACGTCAATCGTTCAGTATAGCATTTATGTCCAAAATTCTTCGTCTATGTGAAACTGATATCAATTTTTGCCACCTTTTTCATAAAATATAGGTCAATACCAGGATCATCTATCTCAAAATAACACCTCACGATTGCAAACAGAGCCTACAAGTTCAAATGACGATGTTTCACAATTACAAACAGAGTCTACAAGTTCAGGTGGTGATATTTCACAAGCTCCAAATGATTTTAATAATTTCAGCGAATTATCTGAATCTACAAGATCTCCGGAAAGTGAATCTTATGACCTTGGAAATCTTATGGTTAATAGTCCCTGGGGGACCTCACAAACAAATATGACTCAAGGTATGTGAACATTTAATTAAAGCCGTTAATCATGCAGGCTATAGTTCTCCGATTATTTTCTGTTAATTACGATTGCAAAAAGCTGAATTCTGCATATTAACGTTAACATTTTATTTCTACATT